GGGTCTGTGTTCTTGGTGAAGCTGGCGAGAGCAGGAAAGAAGCCGTCCGCCACCTTCTTCAACCTCCGTGGCGCGACGCCGACGCAGTTACTGCGTCGTGCCCTCCTCCACCTCCTCCTCCTCCTCCTCCTCCTCCTCCTCCTCCTCCTCATTCTCCTCCTCATTCTCCTCATCATCATCATCATCATCATCAGCAGCAGCAGCAGCATCATCATTATCATCTTCGATGGCGAACACCTGATGAAGAGTGGCGCGGGCGGTCCTCAAGATAGTGATCACGTCAACGTGTTCGACTGAATCGGAGGCCGTTTCGATGTCTTGCGCCCCTAGCACCCAGTGGCATGCCCCATCTGGTCACACAACACTTCGAAGAAAACTCCAAAGCAATCGTCGACGCACGCACCGTTACGATAACCATAGCTCTTAGCCACACCCAGCGGTCGCATGATGGCAGCTGCTGCCCTATATATCGTAGCACTGAACAACTTTGAAATGGGGTCCATGACTCTCACCCACCGAAAATCCTTGAAGTTAGTAGGGTTGCGGGCCGTACGTATCCCAAGTAATTCCAAGGCTTTACCAAAAATCTAAATCCTTACTGGTCCAATGTGTGTCCTCGAGGCGTTGCAGAAAGAGTTGGTAAATGTGTAGCTTCAGGTACATATGGGGCATGTCCCAAAGCAACGCCTGGTATAAGGTCAGGGACGAGAGCCTGACCGAGGCCACGGACTCCGCGGGGACCAGGTCCAACGCCTTGCCCCGACCGTCCACGGCAAGAGTTCCAGGAGGCAGCCCTTGTTGTTCATAGAAGGCGAAGCACGTAGTGGCCACATCGCGCGCCGCAGCCGCCTCCCATGACGCTTGGCATGCTTTGCCCAGCCCTCCGTCACGCAGAGGTTGGCGAGCTCGACGAACAGTGCGAGTGAGTTGGCTAGCACTGCTGCGGATCTTCTGGCGCACAGCGGTTAAGCGGCAGAGCATATCCCACTCCCCCGCGCAGAACAGGGCGAGCCGTTCGCTCACGCGCTCCGCGACGGGCTTGCTCTGCTCGGACTCGGTGTCCGAATACAACTCGGCAACGAGAAAACTGTCGATAAGCAGGAACAGACGCCAACAGGCGAGTCGCTGACGATCATCTTGGGCCTGCAGCGTCCAGGAGGTGACGGTTGTCTTGGCCTCCCCACCGCGAACGGGAGCGCGCCTGGGAGCTCCGTCAACGTCATGTCCTGGTTGAGGAGAGCCCACTCGAGCCACCCACGCGCCGATGGCGACCAACACCATTCCGTGTGGCGGAGCTCCGAACCGGGGAGGCCTGGAAGACGGACCAGGTCCTGGACTGCATCCCTGGTCGCCTCTTCAAACCTGCCCTCCTGCTGCTCCGGCTGGTGGGCCATGGGCACGTCGGCACCTCGCGACGATGCTTGCTGTGAACTGCCTGCTGGGCCTGCCGGCTGGACCTCCGACCATGGTGCCAGCGCCACCTGCTACGCCATCGCAAGGATGCGGTCGCTGGCTGGGGGTCAGAGCACCTCGCCTGCACAGTCAGGGTGTCCATACTTGGGGTGAGCCGGATTCGCGCTCTTGGAAATCCGGACGTCCCTTATCTGGGCGGGAGCTCTCGTGGCACACCTGGCCCTTCCCCCGCAACCGCACCCGGGCATCTTGAACCGAGCAGCGCCAACCCGCATCCTGTGGTCACACCCGGCGGCGCCGGCTCCTCTGACGCGGCTCCGGGCCTGCGTCGACATCCAGTCCCTGCTGCGGGGGGCCCTCGCTGGGATAGCCCAGCGTGGAGTCCCAAAGCCGGACGCTCCAGCCCGCTGCCCATGCGGCCAGAGCAGCCGGCGAGGCAGCCACGGCTTGGGAGACCACGCTCGCGCTGGACAGCACCCCCACTGTGGCCCCCACCGCGGCGGCAGCAACCAGGCTCACCCCGAGGCATACGAAGGCCAGGCCGTAGGCGCGCAAGCGATACTGGGCGAACGAGCTGGCGAAGCGACCAGGAAGCGCGTGCACGCTAGTGACCATGTTGTCCGCGAGCGCCAGCACCTCGATGAACACGAGGGTCCCCAGTGGGCGCCCCGAGGAAGTCGCCCAACAGAAGCACGAGGCCCAGCCATGAGCCCTGTTGCACCCTACCGCTCCCTTCCCTTCCCCAGAAGACCGCCAGGAAGGCCAGCATGATGATGAAGAACGCCCCAGAATTCCAACTTGCGTGTCAGAAGAAGCGCAAGGCAGCAACAGCCACCTCTGGCGTCTCAGGCCCTGCCGACGGCGCCGCTCGAGGCGTCCCCGGGCCCCCTGGGCGGTGTACGCGGCATCGCAGCAGACCTGCACGCGGAGTGCGGACCTGGTGACCACCGAGCAGAACCTGCGAGCTGGGCCCCCCACTCGAACAACGCTCGGGATCCGACCATGAACTGCGCCCAGGTTGGCTGCAAGAATCAATATACATCATCGCGCGTATGGTGACCACCGAAAGAATGACAAACTAAGCAGACGTATAATATACCGCCAATGTCTGCCTCGCATCCCACTCGGAGCGGTATTGAATGTACCGCAATGTCTGCCTCGCATCCCACTCGGAGCGGTATTGAATGTACCGCAAGCGTCAGCCTTGTATCCCGCTCAGGACGGTCGGCCCGGGATGCCGCAAGGCTGCCGTCGTTGGGTGTAGCACGGCCCTCAGCTCTCTGTGCGGATGCAGCGAGCACTGGGCCTGGGGGTGGACGTTGCGAAACCTGTATCGGCGGGGTTTGCGCTGCGCGCGGCCTCGTCGTTGGGTGTAGCACGGCCTTCGGTCTCAGCATTGCCCTGCTGGCGGCGGCGTTAGCCAAGCGCCTGGGTGGCTATTCCCATGTGGTATGGCCCTCAGGGATTTGCGTTTTCCGTGAAAGGTGGTGGCATGTGCCACGTAAATCCGATCGGACTTTGTGTCCACTCACGGCTGGGGCCTTTGGGCAGGCCCCAGTGCGCAATGCCAATCGTGCCGACAGGGTGGCCTCGTGCCCCCAATGCACCATGTCGGTTCGGTTGGGCCGCGAGTCGTCCGACGCCAAGGGGCAGCTCTTGTACCCTGTACCGCTTTTCCGCATTTGCGGAGGTCGAGCAGTGTCTGTGTGCAGTCGCTGACTCACTTTCAGCCTGTCAGCCTCCTCCTCCTCCTCCTCCTCCTCCTCCTCCTCCTCCTCCTCCTCTTCCTCCTCCTCCTCCTCATTCCTCCCTCCTCCCTCCTCCCTCCTCCCTCCTCCCTCCTCCCTCCTCCCTCCTCCCTCCTCCCTCCTCGGCGCAACCTGGGGGCGGGCAGAGTCTGTCCGCCACCAGCAGTGAAAGCAGGGCCGAAGGCGCACCTTACAACCGCCTTCGGCCCCACTGGGCGGACACGGCTCCCTCGACCAAGCGAAGGCCCACGGGCGTAGAAAACCTAGACACCCGCCGTGGCCGCCAGGACAGGGAGCCTGACCAAGGACTGAACTCGATAGACTTTGCCACTGAGTCTGAATTCACCTTTCGCAAGCCTCTTCAACGTCTTGCGAGCATGGTCTGTGACCTCGGATGGGCACGGGCTCGCCAAACCAGAAAGCCTCGTCACTGCAAAGCACGCGCAACGCGTGCAGCCGACCACGCGCGGTCCACCAGAAAGCTGAAACTTAGCAAGGGCATGCACCTTACCCGAGCAGCTCGCCTGCGCGGCAAGAACACGACTGACCAGAAGATGGCCACGGGCTCCTTGACGAGAACCAAGCGGGGCACTGGGGGCAAACCACGAGCATGCTTCTTGGGGTGCCCACAGTCCTCGAGCCCCTCAGAAAGACGCGCGATCCAGGAGCCCCAGACATGCAAGACTTTGCATCGGGCCTGAAGCTGTGCGACGGCAGCCTCTGAGACCCTGGCAAAAGAAGCAGCACTCTTGGCAGCCTCGTCTGCCTTGGCACTGCCGTAACGGTGACGCGCAGAGGTGCCTCGCCCTGCCTGCACGTCAATCAGGGTCGCATGACCCTTGATCTTGCTGATCTCAATCCCCCCGCCCCAGTCATCCACCAGCCTCCAAAACCCCTTCCAGAAATGAGCGTGCGCTGAAACACAAGCACGGGTAGCCTCTGGGCCACGCACATGGAAACCGTCAGCCACAAAAGCAGAATCCGTGAAAACACGCACAGGCGGAGTCGCGAAGCGCAGAACATTGATGACAGCAGCAAGCTCGGCAGCACTGATGCACTGCAGTGGGTCCAATGGCGGTCCTGAACAAAACGAGACAACTTCCTGACGGTCCTGATGCAATGCAACGCAACCCCAGCCCGCACTGGCTAAGCTGGGATACTGAGCCTCGAAAACAGAACCGTCGGTGTAAATATCTCCCGTGAACTCCGAGGGTCCTCCAAGCCCCCAACAAATCGGAGACCCAGGAGGACGGCGGCTCAGAGAAGGGAATGGCACAAGACAACGCTCGGCGAAAAGCACCGCCAGCTCTGAAGTAGTAGCCGCAGCCTCTGCTGCAGCTAAAGAGCTGGGCTTGCCCTCGAGGCTGTCTAAGCGAGAACAAGAGCAGTGCCTGTGCAGCAGGGTCCCTTCCTGCGTGGGACAGAGCAGACATGAGGGAGCCGTGTCATAACCCGCAGCCCACTGCCTCTTCTGTGGCCACTGCCCGCCGACGATCGTGCTGCGGAGGTGGCCCTGCTGCTGGGCCGACAACTTACTCTTGCTGCCAAGGAGGGCCTTCAGGGGTCCCAAGATCAGCCCGTTGGCGAAGTCCTCAACCTCGAGATGTTCCGCGACCTTACGATACTGCCACGCCTCCACAGCACGAAACACGAGCTCCTGAACAGTCCCCTCCCTCCTCCCTCCTCCCTCCTCCCCTCCCCCCTCCCCCCTCCTCCCTCCTCCCTCCTCCTCCCTCCTCCCCCTCCCTCCTCCCCTCCCTCCTCCCTCCTCCCTCCTCCCTCCCCTCCCTCCTCCTCCTCCTCCTCCTCCTCCCTCCTCCCTCCTCCCTCCTACCTCCTACCTCCTCCCTCCTCCCTCCCTCAATCATTATGGCACGAGCGGGTGCAGGGGGGCCTTCATCA